AATTAATGCGGCATTTAATTTCGGCCAAATTAATTTTAGGTGTTAACAGCCACCATCATAACATTTGATGTTTTTGAAAAGTAGTGAATGCGTAACAATTTTTTTAGTGATGTTCGAGTTAATTTTTTAGATGAAAAATAGTGAATCATAAAGACAAAAGCTAATTTAATTTGTGGGGTAACACGACCCAATTCCAATTGCTTTTATTTGGGCTCGTGAATTATGATCGAGTTATGATTCGGTTCAAGTTTTCTTTTTTTTACGTAATTGTGGACTCAATCTAGGGATTCAATTGTGGTTGGGCTTGGTTTTGGAGTGTTACAACAAGCCAACAACCATCGTATTAGTTTTTTTTTAATATATAAATAATTTCGAACCATGGAAGCACGAGGATGGAAGAAGAGGGAATACACAAAACAATACAAATCATAGTTCAGGTACTGATATAATAATATGTTAGGTTAGACTTAGACGAAGGACTCCAAGATTAGGGGGGGATCACGTGCCTGCATGTGCATTAGATTTGATGCCATACTTGCTAATTTAGTAAACTAATTAGTTTATAGGTCCAATACTTAAATAGAATAAATGTAATCATCTGGGCGTTTGGTCTAGTGGTATGATTCTCGCTTTGGGTGCGAGAGGTCCCGAGTTCGATTCTCGGAACGCTCCCTATTAACTCTTTTTCTATATTAATATACTTTGCTAATTACTCTTAACTCTTTTTCTATATTAATATACTTTGCTAATTACTCACCCCTAACACGATCAGGATAACACAATCAAAGACCATTTATTCAACTTTTCCAAATGAGAGGGGAAATGGCTTGTTTGGTCCCAACAATTACCCTAAAAAGGAGCAATTTCAGTAAAGAATGTCTCTATATTTTTTCACTCGGGCAGTGTAAGTAAGTAAGTAGGCAAAGTAAAGTGTGTCATGCTTGCTTTCCTCGACAATCCATGGCTACAAAAGTCATGACTAATCATCACTAATCATTGCTCTTAATTGCACTTCTCTCAACATCATTAACTATTGTTCTTCCTCTTTTCTTCTTTGGGTGTTTCTTCGCAATTTATTATGCGCATGGAGATGGAGTTGAGGAGCAGCCTAGCCTCTACTCTCATGTCATCATCTTACTTAGAGACATGACTACGTCAATCATCAAACTTAACATAGATCTTGTTCAATTTCATATTCCTCAGAAAATTATTTCGCACTCTTTTCAATTTGTTTATCGTCTTCAACAACGAAACCTTCAATATTCGCTTTTACGATCTATATAACTCATAACTCTTTGCTACGACTTATTCATAATCTCTTTTGTTCTGTGTTGATATAAATCTCGTCCAACCCCATTTTCCTGTTAACATTTTCGCACTCTCTTCAATGTATTTATTGTCTTCATCAACAAAATTTGATCCCCCCTCCTTGATACATATAACTCATCACCCTTTGCTACACCTTATTCATAACCCCTTTTATTTCATGTTGAGAACGGAATTCGATTTCCTTGCAGACCAACATATCAAGCATCGTCTTCATTCACGAACAACGACTAATGGTGTATAGCTTTGCTGAAAATGTATCCAATCACTAATACAACCTACTATATTAATCTTTGGGTAAACACTAATTATTAGCCAAACCTTTCTCGCATTCTTTTTTATCAGCCAAATCTATTGAATTACTAATAATTAGCCAAATCTTTTATAATGCATCAAAATATTAGCAATTTTTACGTTACCATTAATAATTTTCTATCTCTTTTCTTAGTTAAAATACCAAAGTTTTGCAATGTTGACCACCACGTGTCTCTTCCAAGTCAATATCATGTTGTCAAGTCAATATTACTAACAAAATTGATGACTGAAAGTTAACATTTGGCTGATTATTATTAATTCAATAGATTTGGCTAATTAAAAAGAATGTGGTAAAGGTTTGGCAAATAATTAGTATTTACCCTTAATCTTTAGTTACCCAATTCCGTTCCTGGCTAACCAGTAATTATTGTATTAATCTTGGGATACCCAATAGGTTAATGAATTTGACCACCCAATTAATCTATACTAAATAGTGTGTGTTTCATTACTAATGATGCACCCATTGCATTATAAACAAGACGCCTTATGATTACTTACAAGATACCATATAATTACAACGAAGGCATCAAAGCAAATTACAACCAAGCTAGACATCACATCATGCTAATTAGGCACCATATGTCATTTCGAATAAGACATCATAAGCATTACCATCAAAGCAATACCCATATCAAGACGCTAATTATATTATTAAAAACAAACTAAGGCACTTTATTATCACTATCAACGCACCATGCATGTATATCATTACTAACAACTTCCCTTATTCTTCACTATACATCATCAAAAATAAATCAATAACCATACAACTTATCGAACTGTTTAACTGACATTTGCTTTCCTGTATGAAGTGGCGAAGTCATAATTTACAGGAAAAAGAGATCTAAAAAAAAAAGAAATAATTCTTTGTGGTTCAAATCGAACTTGTAATTTTAACGTTATTGTACAAATTTTACTTTTATCTCGAAAAAATATAGTTTTGCAACTATTAATAACTATCTCAAAAGCAACAAAAAACCTAAAAGTGTCCTCATCTCAACCAAAGTTTTCTAAGGTACCAAAAGATATGTATATCATCATCGTATAAATTAACATAATTTATCTCGCTAGTTTTGATCTTTTTCCCCTTCTCGTCGTGGTAATTAAATCGGCGTCACTGATTATAATATCATGCCGTTTTTGTTTTCTTTATGATTGTGAAATTACAAAAATTAGTTTATTGTTTTATTTTCTTCTTTTAACTCATGTCATTAGGAAGTGAGACCTTCAACCAAGCTGTGAGATCGAGGAAGCCTCCATTAGCATATAAACCATAGTGTTTGTAGTCAGAATATTAAACACTAGGAATCAATACGACTGAATGAACTATGTAGGTATTTATAGCAAAAAAAAAAAAAAGGATAGATATTATTATATTTCATTTAAAAAAAGATTCCAAATTGTAGCTATTCATTATAAACAATGTTGAATAAGGACCATGTAGCATGCTGACCATATGCAACCAAGGCACAATTATAAACGAGTTTCCTGTCAGCAGCTTGTGAAAATATTGTTTTTAATCTTATTTTTTATAGTTATAAAAATTGATTTTTTGCAAATTTTCTTTCATAAGTCAAATTAATTGATTTTTTTTTAGCCTAACTAAATCAATGTCGATATATTTTGGGCATGTTATTCGAAATACATATATTCACGCAATACATAAGTGTTAACGATATTCACAATTACATCATATATTTTGTGATAGTATTCACAACACTTATCAAGTCGTAGTTACAACTCACAACATGAGTTAAATCTATTCATAATCCTTAGTAAGCGTACTAACATATCAATAATTACCAACTCCAACCCATTTGTACAATTCACCCAGAAGCAACCAAATCTTTCAGCTTCACGATTTGACCAAATTGAAAGGCCGTATAATATACGTGTGTACGCATGGGACAATTAACAACCTTATGGTGTAACATTTCACTCTCCAAGACCAATACGGCAATACCTAAATGTGTAATTCGTCATCTTCTAACCAGGTTTAATTTTTCTAAGGTAACAGATCATGTGTATATATATCATCGTATAAATTAACTTAATTTTGTCCGTTTTGTCTCGTCGTCATGCTCAAAACGGTTTGAAGATTCTAATATCGGCCAGTTTTTGTTCTCTGTATGATTTAATATATTAAAGAATCACAACCGGAGCCAGAATCTAAGATGTTTTTTCCCCCTGCTTTTAACTCGTGTTTATTGCATGTCATAAGAAACCCATAACTTTTTTTTTTATGAATAAGAACCCCATTCAATTAGACATAGTGTTTCGAGTCAGGATATTAATCGACAAGTGTTACCGTACAAAAACTATGCTTATAAGACCTATAGAGTCTTATCACCTCTAATATGAATTGTACCACTCCATGATATCATTATATAAGAGTAGTATGATTTGTATCAAAGATGATAAGACACGAGAGTTTATAGATTTTACAATTTTGGATTTGTACATAACCTTTCTAGTTCTAGTATTAAACACAGAATCAATATGATTTTTTTTTACGAAGGATCAATATTGTTAGAGAGTGTTATAAGATCCAGTATAATCTTCTCCCAACAACTCGAGTTATTGGGACCAACAGGTTTATGACAATGGTATCGAAGCTGGTTTGGCCAAGTGGTCGTGTGTTCAAATCTCCACGATCTCCAATATTAACAGTTAATTAAAGCACAAGGTATGTGATCGCCTGTGCAAACTTCAAACCCATGGGTTGGCTTTCGTTTGAGGGGGCGTGTTAGAGAATGTTATAAGATCCAACATAACCTTCTCCCAACAACTCTAGTTATTGGGACCAACTGGTTTATGACAAATATGATTGATGCATAGGGAATCAACTATGTAAGGAAACACTATTAAACCCATCCTTATCCAATCCGATTTCCATCCTCATTTTTCTCTTAATCGAATTCATTCTTAATTCAGTTAAATTCCAGACTAGACAGAAATACGTCCACAAGTGTTGAGAAAGTGGTATATTTACCTATGTTGGTACTTTTTTTTCCCCTTAAGGAGTTAAATACTTGTCAGTTTGTAACAACAAGTGTGAGATTATATCGAAAGTTGTACCAAAATGTTAGTAGTAACTTAGTAGAATATTTTCTATTTTATATAAAAATTGTGGTTCAATTACTTCATACCGCTAAAATTACCTATAGATTTGAAGTCTGATAGATATGTCTTATCCAATCCGCTAGTACGTACTACGGTTCTAACATATTGGTTTGTAACTAAAATTTAAGCAGGCGTATAATAAATAATATTTGCCTAATCGGGAAATCCCATGGAGTTGAGAAAGCAAAGTATTGGTTATATTATACATAAAAATCCGTTTTTAATTAGCAATCAGTACTATTCTATTCATTCCCCCAGTTTGCTTTTGCTTCTTCTCTCTGGAACTCCCCCATTTGGCTAATTTCTCTTGAACGAAAACCCAACTCCAATTTGCTGCTTCGGCAGCAAATAACAACACAAAGGCAGCCGCGCAAAAGCAAAAGGGAACAAATTAAAGGCGCAAAAGCAACTCCATCCACCGGGCGCCTTTTGCTTCTATCTATCCATCTCTGGCTCCCAATTCCCATTTTGCCTTTCTCTTCCTTCCACTCCAAATCCCAGATAACACGTTTAAAAGGCGCCAACCGGAGAGCGAAATCGCCCAACTTCCAGCTCGCTAGCTGGAGAAGAAGACAAAGAAGGAGGAGATAAGAGCCGTGACTTCCTTCTTTTTCCCCCTCGTCATGGTCTCTGCGTGAGAAACAGAGCAATTAGAAAGCAAGGAACAGGGGAAAGGCAGGGGAGAGAGATTTCATTCTTCTGGTGGGTTCCTCGCCATTGCTGGAGTCGAGTCACTTTGTTCTTCATTCTGGGTTCTCTTCTTCTCCGCCGTGGGGGAACAGGGTTATTTCATTTCACCAGGTAATGTTTTTTAACTTCCTCTGCAAATCCGTATGGAAATCATGCTCTGTTTTTTTCTCCCTCTGTTTTTTGGTTTCTTTCTACTGTGGTTTTAGAATTTAGTTTCGAGTGCATTGATATATATGACCATCTAGATTTAAGTTTGGACATGCTTCTCTTTTCCTGAAGCGAAATGATCATTGGCTTGTCTTTCATGCTTCTGAGCTCCCTTTCTGTTGATCGGTTTCTCGAGAACCAAACAGGTGGGTGATCGATTCATTGCATTTTCCCTTTTGTTTCGCTTGCCCTTGATTCTGTTCATTGAATGGGATTGGGGTTTGGGCGTTTGGCATGGGAGAAAGAATCGTTTCTGTTGCTTGCGTTAGCAGACAGCAGTCTTTGTGATACGATACCACATCTTTTTTTTATGAACAGAGATCTTGACGTATGTGTCTAATACTATCCTGATTTCGTAACTATCAAATTTATAATTCTACAACTCATAACTAATTCGACTAACCTCTTGAGATATCTTATAAGGATGAAACTTAAATCGTCACAAACATAGTGTCGATATATCTTACAATTTATTCGTAAAATTAAGGGAAAACAATTGCTCAAATTAGTCAAAAGAAAAAAGGGATCTCATTTTGGGAGGCAAAACATGACCCAATTGGGCACCCACCACAAAAATCATGAACAATAATAAAATATAGCTTGATCATCCTTCTTTTTTACCTCAAAGGTAATAAACCCAAAAAAAAAAGTACCTTATTTTTAATAATTAGATGATTTGTTAATCTCAGAATGAACACATTTTACAATCAAACATGGTTACCAGAAATTAAGCCTTGGAATAGAAGAAAAGGAGGGGATTCCTTCCACGCATTCCCACGAAATCAGATCTCTCTTTCTATTTTATTTATTTATGTGCAGTAATAGTATAATAATAGAGGTCCATGATTGTCAAACAAAACGAAGACAAAAAAAAACAGAGATTCTTGTACACTGTCCAGAAGCAAGATCTGTCTGCTCTCTGCCTGCTTCATGTGAGGTGGGCGCAGAAGCTCCAATAATAAAAGGCAGAAGCAACAGCAACCAAGTTTTTTTCCCATCTTTTGTCAGGTGACAAGAGAATTTCAATGCCTGAGAACCTGCTTATTCACACTGGGGACAGTTTCGAAACTGTTCCCAATTCCCCGCTTCATGTTGAATGCGTAAACCCTAAATTCATATTTTGACTTTATCTACTTCGGGATCGAGAATTAGATGAAAATGCGTATACACGTACAATCACTTAAGTATTGGGTTCTCGACCAGTTGGCTAATGAAAATAAGAACGATGTTTACACTTACACATGATTAACGGCTCCAGTTTCGTTTTGAATGAGTCAAAATCTAAAATCATTCTTCGATGTTATCCACTACGAAATCGAGAATCAGACAACCGATCGTGATATCAATATAAGGTGCATGCTCGTACAATACTCAGTACTGAATTCTTGATTAGTTGGCTAAAGAAAGTAAAGAACGGTGTTGACATTTTACACATTCAAACCCTTTTTTTTTTTTTTTGGTTGGCGTTGAAAAACAGTATTTCAATTTTCAACTAAAACTTCAGGTCTTTCGAAATAGAAATATCAGAAGTTGGTGTGGCGTAGCTTGTTGTTGTTGTTGTGTAGTTTCCACGTTGTTATTATAATAAGAACATAAATGGAGGAGAGGGTAGGGGGAAAGTGGGATGGTTTTAGTTAGAACATTAATTTTCTATCTACATCGTTGAATGTCAAGCTAATTGTAATTAGGTTTACCTCAAACGCGTTCAAATGGTGATCCGGCATGCAACCTTTGAATTGCTAGATAGTCAAACCTAGAGAGGGAGTTTTCTCGTATCAAATAACAACGCTACACTTTTCAATTCTTTACGAATGGAGGAGAAAAGTATCGAGCCAAAACTAGATAAAATATGTTTGAAATGAAAGCCATGATCGTGTCGTTTAGAACCCTAGAGGGACGACTTTAGCAGGTCTTCGTTGCCTAGGTTGTGTGGCGAATTCAAAGATTTAGGATTTAGTCTTACAAAGATGTTACTGTTGTATTAAAGGGTTCTGCTCTTGTGTTAAGAGTTTGGAGCAGGATTTTGTTGATGTCGGTGAATATCCTTATTTCAATTTTTATACGGTGAAAATTTGTTGGTATTGGTGAATGTGAGTTCCATATGCATTAACTCTAATGACCAATATAAACAACATCAACTTTGAACTACCTTGAAACAAAGTATTTCGAATCATGTTGTTGTATTCTTACATAGCAAACTTCTATCCTAATAGTACCACAAATGACTTAGCTCCGAGTCCTCAACGGTTTAGTTTCTCCTTAAGGGGAAAAAAACACTGCAAAAAATTCTTCTTTCTAAATTCTTTTTATGAATCTAAACAGAATCCATTTGCGGTTCTAGGGTTTCCAGTTTGATATATGGTCACAATCATTATATTTCTTAACTATTTAGTATGATCCGTCTACTAGATTTTTCATTTCTCTAGGATCTGGTTGAAGAAGACGAAGTCGGAAATTGTAATACTTTTTATTTGGTTGGTGGGGAGGTTTTGGTCAGTAGGAAAGCCAGTTAGATATCTTTGTCACATGTGAAAGTATTGTTAGGGTAAACAATTGCACAATGTTTCATTTATTATTTGATTCACGAAACTTTTGGCCTATATAAATGATTTTTTTTTTGGGTAGAGGAAATTTTCACATGGCTCTTTACAGAGGCTGACTTTCTGGTACGACTAGGGCACACCTCTTTTAAATTTTTGTTTTGTTTAAATATATGAATTAACTGTACTTGTACTACCAATTTTTGTATGGACATCTATTCAAATCGTAATTGTCGACTTTAAATTGTAATCGATTCATTTCTATGTTACTCTTAACGCCAATTTAGTATGATCGTTATCATGCTAATGGGAATAGGCGTCAACATGGACTGATATAACTGGATCTCATTGTCTTGATTATTGAATTTTACACATTGATGGTATTTATTCAGCCATCAACGTATGCATCAAATAGCCGAGATTGTTGTATTCCAAGATTTGACAATTTAAGTGCATGCTTACAATCGAGTGACGTTGGCCAGTGTAAGTAGATTAACATCGGATTGGATGAAAGTCTCCTTTTTTTTACTTTTTAAGAGTAGATAGTGAGGTGTTTGATTTTAGATGGCCCTTTCCATGATATACTTGCTTAAAACTTATGATGATCACATTTTTTTTATGAAATACTTTAATTAACTTATCATCAATGTCCAATTAAAAACAAACTATGAATACACACGAAAAGAAGAAACTGTGAATTGGTGGGCCGGCGGTAGGGGAGCTCCGACCATTGGCCGGTCGGACAGAAAGAGGTGGGTGGTTGCCAAATGGCAAATGACGGGATTACATTAGTTGGTGGATTAGGCTTATTAATTGACAATTAGTTGGGTTAATTAAAGAGATAACTCCTAGGATTAACCAGGGAGCACCCCATTGGTCAGTTTCAGTTTAGAGATTTTAATTTCTAACTGATTCCTAACAGATCTCTAAGTTATGGAGGGAATCCTCTCCCTCGTCTCAATCATAGGCCGCCTCTTTGAGCGACTTTCGGCGCTACCACTAAGGCGGTTAAACTTAGATAAAGATTCTAATATCATTTAAATTCCATTCATACTTAGAAAAGGAATAAGATAGGATCAAGAAATCAGATCAGCAAAAGAACAGAATAAAAAAAAAACAATATGTTTCCTGTACATTTGTTCACTAGTAGTGGATCCATTAGGCAACAATCCATCAGAATCCTGTTGAACGAGGCATAGATAGGCATAAACGTCGTACTTGTACCTTCTCCGTTAATCGAGTTATGATCTGACGGTTGGAATATATATGAGTAGTTGTAGTGTGTCGTATATCATATACGCAAATTACAATAACATTGCAATCGTGCGTCTTAAAATTGAGAACGCGCAATCACTTGCTTTCTCGTTATGTTAAAGTTGGAATCAAACTATTAACACCACAACTGTTTGACAGTACAATCAAACGATCTCAACCACACATCGAACGAATTCGAACACCCCATTCTCACGATCCAATGATATCAACTCGTATTGGAATCTACTCTACTAGCTTACCTCATCATGCAGTCACGCTGAATTGACTAATCATAGTGCATACTGCACAATAGTAATGGCGGTGGTAAGTAGTGACAGGCACACCATCTCCAGAGTAATCATGGCTCCCAACTCCAGAATCCCATGAATGAAGGTCTCCTTTTCGTTCTATTTTATTTATTTATTTATTATTTTTTTCTTGTCCTCATCCCTCAGCTTCTCCTTCCTCCTTTATATATTCCGGATATAAAATTCCAAATATGTTCGAAAATTCAACTACAAGTTGGATCTTTTTTTTTTCTTTCTTCTGGGCGCCGTTCAGGAAGTTCTTTCTTCTTCACCACCCCTTTTTGACAGGAAGAATTAGACGTTATTTCTAGGTAGGTCGCTTAGCTTTCAATCGAAGCACGATAGGGAAAAAAAGGCGAAAGAAGTTTGGTTGCATTCAGGTTTATGTTAGGTATACCGTAGAATGACGGCTCTCTCTCACACAATGATTCTTCTTCTTCCATTGTTCAGATTTAAACGCCATTGCCATTTTCAAGGTTCGGAGTAAACAGAAGAGATTGAAGACAATGGCGGCGAGAAAGATTCGAAATTGAAATGTGGGTTTTGTTTCTTTGCACTGTTGCTGCGGTGGGTCTGGTCTGAAATCTCCCGCCGGGAAAGTGAAATGGAGGCTGCCGCCGGCGTCGTTGTCCCCGCCGGCGGAAGTGGGAGCGCGAGCAGTAGAATTGAGAGGAACAATGCGGTTTTGAAGGACCCGTCGTGGTTCGGTCAGTTCAGAAACGGGTCGAACCCATGGATGGCTAGATATGTCTACGCCCTCATTTTTCTTTCCGCCAATCTCCTCGCATGGGCTGCTCGTGATTATGGCCATTCCGCTTTGACCGAGATGGAAAGTAAGAAGAAATTGAGTCTTTCCTTTTCTTGGGTTTTCTTGGTCTGGCTTCAGATTTTGATTTGGGATCTTGTGTTTTTTGGCAGGGCTGAAAGTCTGTGATGGGAAATCGGACTGTTTGGGAGTTGAGGGGGTTTTGAGGGTGAGCTTGGGTTGTTTCGTCTTCTTCATTCTCATGTTCCTTTTGACCTTGGGGACTTCAAAGCTGCAAGATCCGAGGGACGCGTGGCATTCTGGGTGGTGGTCGGCGAAAATTGCTATCTGGGTTGGAGTCACTCTGCTGGCCTTCCTTCTTCCTTCCACCATGGTCAGGATCTACGGTTAGTTTTCCTTCACCAACAATGGCATTCTCGAGCTTCTTTTGGTAAATGGGTTTTGCTGATCTGGTTTCCTCTCTATTCTTTTTGCAGGGGAGATTGCCCATTTTGGTGCAGGGTAATATATCCATTGCCACATTAGACATGCATTTGTTTCTGTAATTTGATGGACCAGTGATTCAGTGTTAAACTCTTCCCGTTGCAGGGTGTTTCTACTGATTCAGCTAGTGAGTGTGATAAGCTTCATTACATGGATCAACGATCGGTGCCTATCTGAGAAAAACGCAGAAAGATGGTGAGGTTTCCATCCATCACATTGCCCTTTCATTCTCATTAGCAGCAACAAAACAATGTACTGTTTCTTGAAACCTTGTGATTTTGAATGGTGGCAGCCATATCCATGTAATGGTGGTGGCGACGGGTTCTTATGTAATCAGCCTGGTGGGTATAATCATGATGTACATTTGGTACACTCCAGACCCATCTTGCCTACTCAACATATTCTTCATCACTTGGTCCCTAGTGCTTCTGCAACTCATGACCAGTGTCTCTCTTCACCCTAAAGTAAAATAATTCAAACCCCTTCCCCCTTCCTTTCCTTCCGTTGTTTTTGTGCATCCATTGCAATGATGTTCATGGTCTGCTAGAAGAAAGCAAGGTGCTGAAAAATGGCCGTTTTTTCGCGCGCAGATAAATGCCGGGTTCCTGGCACCTGGACTCATGGGGTTGTATGTTGTGTTCCTTTGCTGGTGTGCCATCAGAAGGCAAGCCCAACAAACATCATTGTTCTTCAAAATTTTCATGGTTATTGCCCAAAATTTGGTCCAAAGTTGACATATTTTTTTATGGTGATAATGTATATCCACAGTGAGCCGGCAGGGGAGATTTGTAACAGGAAGGCAGAGGCTTCCAAGAGAACAGATTGGCTCACCATCATAGTAAGTAAACCATCTTAACTGGATCAGTTTGGAGCATCAGAAAGTTGATGACTTTACCCTCTCAACTCTTCCAATTCTGCAGAGCTTTGTCATTGGACTGTTGGCGATCGTCATAGCCACATTTTCGACTGGAATCGACTCGCAGTGCTTCCAGAAAAGCGAGACGCAAGGCAGTGGGGAAAATGAAGAAGATGAAGTGCCGTACGGGTATGGATTCTTCCACTTCGTGTTCGCGACGGGAGCCATGTACTTCGCCATGCTGTTGATTGGCTGGAACACCCACCACGCCATTAAAAAGTAGGCTCCCCTGTTCTTTGACACGCTCACGTTTCTTTTCTTCTCTTCTCTTCAATTTTCTCTTCTTTGCACTGTGGTCCTTTGATCTAATTATGGTAATCATGTTCTGTCGTGGAGTGGACTTTGGTGGGTTTTTTCCTTGCGCACAAAACAGTTGGTTAATGCCATCGAAAGCAATCCTCCTTTTGGCCTAAACTTTTGGTTAATAAAGCAAGTGATTAGATTAGGGAAGTGTTGTTTTCAACATTTGATGAAAGATAGTGATCCAATGGGTTGGTTCTTTTTCACTGGCTGCTTTGTGCAGGTGGACGATTGATGTGGGGTGGACCAGTGCGTGGGTGAGAATAGTGAACGAATGGCTAGCCGTTTGTGTATATGGTAAGCAAAATCTCTCTTAACTCAAGAGTACTAAGCTCCAAAAGTTACAGATTTTTTCAGATGAACAAAAGAATCGAACTTTGTTCATTTTCAATCGGGTAGTATCATGTGATTCAGAAATCTCAATCATAGAACAATACCAATGCATAAATCCAACGATTGAGTTCACAAATGACATTGTCAACCCGCTTAGATGCCCATGTGGTGGTTCAGAAGCTAAACATTTCTGTTTTGTTTTGTGGGTTGTGTTTGATTTTGTGGATTTGGCAGTATGGATGTTGGTTGCACCGATAATACTGAAGAGCAGAAGGGCAGGGGGATCACCGCCGGTTTAGGGAAAGGGACAAACAATCAGAAGACGATGGTTTTTTTGTTAGTTTTTGGGCTGTGGCTTTCATTCATCCCCCACCTGGTGGAAAGAAACAAAAGAGCATAATGGAGCCAAACAGGGAAAGGTGGACATCACCAACAGTTTAGGTTTACACGATGATGGTCGACAAGGTGGACAAATTGGGGGGAAATGGTGGAAATGAGATTTGACATTCATTTGTTTGTGGGAGATGGAAAATGTGGAGATGGGGGAATTGGATCCCTGTAAATAATAGCAAAATGAATAGAGTCGTCTCATTTTGGAAAAGTGTGTATTAATGGGGATGGGGATGGATTCTGAAATCAATGGATGGAATGAAATACATCAAAGGTTAACTTTCTTGTTTAGTTGAATTGTTCCATTGTCTCAAATTTCCGGCAACTTCCCATTTCCTAGCTGATGTCATTTGGGCATCACATGGATGTCAACGAGATTGGTCTTTCATTTTCCTTGGTCTAAATTTGGAACATTTTCCATGGTTGAAAAGCCTAGGAAGAAAGGGAATGTAGGTTACCTCTTTTGGTAGGTCAAGAAAAGAATCGGTTCCACACCTCTCTCATGGCCATTAGCCATTGTAGAGTGGACTTTCCACCAATGCAGTCAAAAACGCGATTCTACCTAGAAACGGAAGATGGGTAAAATCGTAAAACGTAGAATCAAAACGTAAAAACGTAAGTTTTTGATGCATCTTGTAGAGTAGCTAGAAATCTGTAAAATTCGGCACGTACTATGCAAAATATGAATGTACAGATTTCAGATAAATGAGTAAATACCTGTAATTTATGTTTAAAGTAGACAAAACCCATAACATCTAAATAATAAGTTCATAAACATAAATCATAACTCACAAATGAGTTAAAAGAAACCAAATTCTCACAAACTGTTTAAGAAGTTTACATAACATAATGACACACGAGTTTAATAATCCAAGTTCTATAAATCAAATCACACAAATGTTATAAATGATAGAAAGGAAACTACATTAATTCATCCGCTTCAACGTTCACATCCAAATCATCACCGTCATCATCATCATCATCACCATCAAATGGGCTATCATATGCATGATCACCATCAACTCTTGGATCAGGAACACCAATAGCATCATCACCTTCATTCTCATCAATAGAAACAACATGATCACTTTCAACACCATGAATTCCTTCCTCTCCGCCATCCCTTAAATCTTCAGCTTGTGGTTCATCTTCTTCTTCATTTTCACTACCACAAATCCACTCATTCTCAGAATCCATATCCTCAAAATCGATTTCAAGCCTTCTAGCTTTCTTGACACTTCCTCCCACCAACTTGTTATTGCACATGACATACACAAGATCATTCATCTTTTGTGCATTAAAATTGTTCTTTTTCTTAGTATGAATCTACAACAAAAAAAATTCACATGTAAAAGAATGAATGATAACATCCAAAACTTGTAAAATTATAACCAACAAACATGATAATTGATATAATTAAAAGAAAGTAGGGGTAGTTTATTACTTACCCTCTCAAATGCACTCCAATTACGCTCGCACCCAGAAGCACTACAAGTCAAACTCAGGACTCGGATGGCAAATTTTTGAAGCTCTGGCACTTCATCTCCAAATGAGGTCCACCAATCAGCTGGATGTTGCCTATCCTTTAATTTCATTGCATCAAACTTATCAAATAAACCTTGAGCATGATGAAATACGTGCAACTGTTCCATTATTCTAAACTTCTCTTCATCATCCTTTGCAAGTCTAGTCACACATTCATACAATGCCATTTTCACCTTTGGATCATTATGGCTAAATCCCTGAGAATGATGAATTTGAGGATTCAACCAATATGCAGCATAGTGAATTGGCCTACTCATTTGATCTTCCCACCTTTTGTCAATGATCTTCAAAACAGGCTTATATCTACAAAAATGACATACAATTCAAACTTTAAATAATAAAAAACACAGGTTTGTATCATAAGTTAATAGGCATGTAAAACTCGAAAATTACCTTCTTTCCACATTGTTGAAGTTGTTCTTAATCTTCTCCTTTGCTTGGATCATTTCAAGGTATAAAAAGGGCATTGCTGGTTTTCCATCAGAATCAACCAAACGTAGAACCTTGACTAGAGGCTGAGCAGCTCTAAGGCAATTTGTCACATCTTTCCAAAATCTTCCATCAAGTATAATCCCTTGAATCCTTTTCCCTTCCCGAAGCTTAGCAAAGCTACTCTTCCTCCACTTATCAGAAGAAAACATTGTCATCAAGGAACCCTTATTGTCATTAAGAGAGCCCAATGTCAGATATGTTGTAGCAAATCTTGTAACTGCAGCTCTAACTAAGTCTTTTCTTTGAGTGAACTCCCTCATCATGGCAATCAACATTGTTCTTGCATAAATGAAATTGGTGATCTTCTTCCCCTTACTAATTGTAGTCTTGTGCACCTTAATATTTTTCTCAAGGTCCTCTAGCATCAAATCCAAGCAATGGGCTGCACATGGTGTCCAAAACAAATGCTTCCTCTTCTCCATCAACATTTGTCCTCCCGCCTTGTAAGCTGAAGCGTTATCCGTCACAACTTGGACAACGTTCTCTTCCCCAACCTTCTCAACAACTCTATCTAACATCTCTACACCATGCTGCCAACCGGGGTCTAGACGATTTCCTTGTGCATTTTTTCTCTTTGCTTTAGAATTGGATACGGTGTTACTTGCACTAGTACCTGTACCTCCACTCGACATACCTGTACAACATTAATTAGCCCAAATGCCCAATATGAGAAGTGAAAATAAATCAAATATTATCTAGTATGTACAGGTACATGACAGTAGGGTGCCAAAGCAATTACCCTACATGTTCAAAAGCAATCTGAGGAAGAAAGAATGAACAAGAAAATAAAAGAATGAACTAGAAAATAACAATCTGTCTATGTAAAAGCAACAGCCGCCCATGTTCTCTAAATAATCATCAAATCAGTAATACTAATATATATGTGCAATGGACAAAAGATTAGGGAAGGGAAGGCTTACTTCTTTGGCGGGTTCTGCAGCCTTCTTCTCCGGCAGCTGCAAATGCTTGTTCTCCGGCAGCTGCAGCGTTCTTCTTTGGCTGGTCGGCGGAGAATCCAGGCGCCGCTGGAGACTGCTGGCACGCACGGTGGTCGTCGCCGCTTGCCGGCTGCTGGAGATTGCTGGCGACGGTGGAGAGTGGAGAAGTCGCCGCCGCTTCCTGGCTCCTGCTCCCAGCAGCTGTAGAACAATTAGGGTTGTGCGATTTTCTGTTTGGGGGATTCGGCTAATGAGCCCGATAACCCCTTGCTGTCATTTTCCCCCCCCTTTTTTTAGCGCCAAAACGGCGTCGTTTAGATGAAAAGTGACCATTTTTTGTCAATGTTCGGAATCGCATAAAAACGGTATAAAAACGCGTTTCTAACCGTTTTCATCGATTTTAACGTTTCCACTTACGATTTTGAACGATTTCGAACACCATACGTTTTTAGGTGGAAACTTAAACGTTTTGGTGACCTAGATACGTAAAAACGTACGTTTTTACGACTTGATGCGCGATTTTGACTGCACTGCTTTCCACCATTCAAAACTTCATTTGTGGCTCTCTTTTGTTGTGCGTATCTTCAGTGTCGAGTCAAAACTTCATTTCTAGTTTGGAATTTTGGTTGTAACTCACTTCCGTCCCAACTTTTCATAGACGACTCAAAAGAAATGAATTGCAATGATATGATATCTTGATTGCAAACAGGTGCTGATTGTACATTCTGTCGAAGTTGACGCAAGAAGAGTCGTGTAAAACATCAAGTAAATCGTGAAAAAATCATATAAGTTTTGATCACTCGAAATGCAGTTCCACTTGCCTAAGTTGATCTCAGCCATACAAGCTCATTAAACTCTAATGGTTCCAATTAATTCAATTTAATGAAAGGTAATGTAGTAATTGCATGGTTATTATTTTTTTTAATGATTAAATAATTTTAAAAACTCTCCGAACGACCCATTCTCACTCCCTCCGTTTCCGGCGACGTTCTCCACTGGCCATAATTTCCCGGCGCCGGCGTTCTAACCCATCGGCCATCATTTTTGCGGCGCTGGCGTTCTACCTCTCCGACCACCATTCTCCCGACCAACTATTACTTTGTGCGCCATTTTTCCTTTTTGACGCCTCCCAGAGTCCATTCCCTGGAGAGAGAGAGAGAGAGAGAGAGAGAGAGAGAGAGAGAGAGAGAGAGAGAGAGAGAGAGAGAGAGAGAGATTTTTCCGACAACAACGGTAGTTTTGTAATGTTTGTCGTTCTATTTTGTAATGTTTGTAAGTCTGGTTTGTATTAGTTGTCATTTTTGTATATTATATTTGTAATGTTTATATGACTATTTTGTACGGTTAGTATGCTATGTACTGTTTGTCGTTTTATTTTGTAATGTTTTGTACGCTTTGTTATTTTGTAATATTTGTCGGTTTCTTTTGTAATGTTTGTAAACTTTATTATTTTGGTCAACCATGTTTGTAATGTTTTTTTTATGTCTAAAAAACAACCTGGTTGACTTTTGGATGAAACTCCTCTATATAGGGATGGAGCCTCCAAAGTCAACCCCGGTGTTTTTCCAGTTTGTATGGATTGTCGGTCCTGTTTGTCATTTTTGTCAACCATGTTCGTAATGTTTGTATGTCTAAAAAACAACCGGGTTGACTTTGGGACGGAGCCCTCTATATATGGATGGAGCCTCCAAAGTCAACCCGGTTGTTTTTTCTTTTTTGTATGGTTTGTATTGTTTGTCGGTCTAGTTTGTATTGTTTGTACAGTTCATACGTCTGTAATGTTTGTAAATTTGTTTGTTTGTTTGTATGTTTTGTCATTGTAGTTTGTACTGTTTATATGTTTGTACTGATTGTAATTCTGATTTGTATACTTCGTAATTTTTCATAATACCCAAACTACTCATGTCATTAATTAAATAGCTCTTCCCACTTTTTAACCGTTAGATTGCTGTGTCCAAATCTAAGGGCTGGGAGGGGTTTAGCCAAATGACTAAGCACCCCCCTTAGTCATGGGCTCCGCACTGGTCAATAACCATTAGCGCCCCTTCTCTCTCCTAAAAAACATTTAATTCCCCCCATTAATATTTAACGGACGATTTCTCACTCATTTTAAGTTGATTTTTTTTTTGTTTGCACAATTAGATCAAATTAATTGTGCTCTTCAAAATTATATCAAAGTTGATATAATTTTGAAACAAAAAAAAGGGGTTAATTGAATGGTTGGTCACTGAGATTACAAAAAATGTTCAAGTTTGGTCACTTGAAATATTTAAATCCATTGGTGGTACTTCAATTTACTGAAACCGTTCACGTTTGGTCACTCTCCGTCCAACTTCGTTAACTTTTGCTTATGTGGCGGTCAACTCTAAAAGTTGACCGTTAAATGTGTGATGTGGCAATATAAAAATAATTAAATAAATTTAATTTTTTAAATTCCACATAATTTCTAACTATTAAAAATATAAAAATAAAATTATTAATTATTAAAAGTAATAACAAACTGCGAATCGTGGGGAGTGCGGCCGATGGTGGGCAAGCAGAGCGATTACTGTGGCAGCGTAGTGGTCGCTGGTGTTCCTGTTTGGGGCTCGTCCCGCGCTTGAGTTCATTCATCGTAGTTGGCAGTCAGCAGAGTTCAGACTTGAGTTCATTCTTCTGTCGAGGCGGAGGTCCTCCGCGGAGATGACTGTGAACTCGAGAATCCGTGTCCCGGCAGCCGCTATTGAGAGCCATAAGGGGAATACTGAAGAATGGAGCCAAATCATTGCCACCATCTCAGTTTCTCATCATCGTTTTTGTAGTCCCTCAAATGCGATAAGCCGACAACGGAGCGTATGAACTATGGAGGTAGAGGGTGGGAGGGGCCAGGTGGCGGCAACGGCAACGGCAGAATGATTTAAGCTAACAGAGGGATCTGGGTTTTTCTTCACATCGAGGGAGGCAGCTAAGTGGCAGCGACAATTAACACTGGTGGTGACGACGAGTCGTCGGCAACGACGGTGGCGATTTGGACCGACCGATCGGGGAGGAAAGAGTTGGGATTGGATTTCTATTGAGGTTGAGAAAAAGAAGGACAAGAAAGTGAACGGTGAGGAGAATCAGAAAATTGGAAGGATGTGGCGCCGACAGTGATGGTGGCAATGATTTGTAGCGGCGGAGAGAAGATTTAGAATTGGTATTATGGGGAAAGAGAAATAAACTGGGAAGGGAATCGTGAAGGTGCTGGAAAACTTTTTGTTTTCTTTCAATTTATTTTTATTTTATATATTTATCATCTAATCAAACCAAGACCAATGATTTGAATCAATCCTGATTTACTTGAATCGGTTAGATATAGTGCCAGCACAGGTGTTGTTACGGCACCATAGAATTGTTGGTTAATTACATCTAGAAAGAGGAGAGAGGATTCACAGTTTGTTGTTAATTTTAATATTTTTATTTTTATTTTTATCATTTTAATAGTTAGAAATGAGGTGAAAATTTGAAAAATTAAATTTTATTTATTTAATTATTTTTATATTGCCACGTCACACATTTTTGTAATAGTTAGAGTTGACCGCCACAAAAGCAAAAGTTAACGGAGTTGGACGGAGAGTGACCAAACGTGAACGGTTTCAGTAAACTGAAGTACCACCAATGGATTTAAATATTTCAATTGACCAAACTTGAACGTTTTTTGTAATCTCTGTGACCAACCATGCAATTAACCCAAAAAAATTGAATCATTTTTTATCAGTCTGGTATTGAAATAAGAGTATACCTATGGTTTGAAAAGCGTATCATGGTGGTATGAACAAACCAAGACTGTAGGATGGTTGAATACATGATACTAGTAGTATATTAATTGTGATTTACGACTTTTAACATTGTGTACCACAAAATACCATCCCGTACTAGAGTGGTATTGTGTAGTATTTTTTGGTCATGTATTTTGTTCATCCAGAAATTTGTAGATCCAATAGATCATGATGAACTCGTTTCTTCTGCGCAAAAATTTTACAAAAACGAATTAAAAACGAAGAAGATACCACAGGGTATGCAGTTGGTACCGAGAGGCAAATTTTTTTAAAAATATTGAAAATGAATCTCATTTTGTAGAGAATAACGAACTCGTTTCATCTGTGAAAAAAAAAATTGAAATCTGAGTTAAATCGAAGAAGATATGAACTGATTAAGAAAACAAGGGAAAATAAAAATGACATTTAATTCTCATCCTTAGATATGAATTTTCTAAACAAATGATCTAGATTTTCAACTTGTGGAAGTTGAAAAAAGAAAGAATAACAATCCCAAAATGTCACATATATGCAATTACACAAACTTTGCTGTAGGCAGTGAGACCAAATGCCATTCCCATACATTATATTTCACAGACTCGAAACAGCTTGCCGCAGAAAAAAAAAACGAAGAGACTACAAAATAATACACATCCCCAACCATAAGAAAAATAGAACCCTAACCAACCCCTACAAAGAATTTTAACAGAAAATGGCTGAGTGAAAGAAGAAGATAACACAAGAAAAATGGTACAGTTTCCCACATTTCACCCCGTGATGAACAATAATATTATAACAATGCAAAATCACCATCGAATTAAGAAAAGAGAAACCCTAAATCTCGATTAAAGATGATCTATAAAATTTCCCATTACCTATTTCAACTTCGGCTGCTGGTTTTCTTCCCTTGGACAGTTCGCCCTACCGCCCAGGGAAAGACCAGCACTTCACAATTTGCCTGGATCACGACGAGGAAAGAAGGGCGAAACTTTCTAACACAGCAGCAATTTGGCAATTAGCAACAAGTTGATGCAATTGCCGAAACCATGCTGAAGGAAATATTATTCCTGTTTCGGTTTTATCACTCTTCATCCGAAAGGGTTGCCTCCTGCAGAAGGGAATGGCTGCAATGTGGTAGCAGGAGCCGAGAATCCGCCAGCCAGATGTTGGTCCAAATTTAAGGCACCAAACGCAGCACCACCATCGTTGCTGCTGAAACCTGCTATTCCTTGATGCCTGTAGAAAGTCAGAGTAGAAGCATTTAGCATTACTATAACCTGAACAACAGCATGTATAGTTCGAAGTTCGTGGAGTACATACCCAGATGAGTGACTCGGCACTTGAGATGTAGTTGGCCCTGAGTTGTTTCGTGAAGCAGGATGAGAATGTAAACACAATAAAGCACAAGGGTGTGGAAAAGACTGAATGAGAAAAGAATTTACTTGGAGGCGCTGTAGTTGAGTAAGATTGTAACTGGGGATGCAATCCCGGTTGATAAGGTGATGACTGGTTTGGCATCCATACTGGTGGTGCGGAGTTATCAAGACTTGAAGCCCGTTGTATTCCTGAATGTGCCGCCATATTTGGTAAAGCACTTTGCAAGGATGACATATTAGGAAACTGCAGACATAAAACCAGTAACGTAAGAGATAAATAGATAAACAGAAGCCTCAGGTAGCTCTCTGTATACAGAAGTAAAGTATTCTCAGCATATTCGCGGTCAAGCAGACCAGAAGGAGGATTAGCCAGCAAAAGATAATAGCATTCATGGTTCGGTAGTCTTTGCCTGTTCACACAACTCCTAGAAGCTGAATTCCTAAAAAAGTGGATACAATTAAATTCAAATCTTCTAACCATCCAAAATCTTAGTACTCGAACTAATAATTCTATTTCAAGACTCAAGGAAGAACGATCATTTCAAAAATTTAAGTCAGAAAGGACTTCAATACTGATACAATCTCCAGAGCAAGCTGCTTTAGCAATGTCACAACTAAGATATTTAAAGACAAAAGTATAAAAACACAGAAAGCTGTGCCTTTAACATGAAAGTGTTCCTCAACTAGCTTAGCTTTTTGGATATGATTTTTAGCATAAACATATTGCCAAATGAAAGACACAGAGCTTCAGATTAATGAAGAGAGAGCACATACAGGTTGGGCCTGAGTTGGTGTTGGCTCATTTGCGTCAAATGGATTTAACGATTTTGAGGGTTGCTGGATGAATGTGGGCATAAGCTGTGGTAAAAACAAAGATAGAGAAAAACCAATAGTGAAAATCCAAAATAAGGCAGCAATAATGAAAGATCTTTTTATTACCGAGAAACCTACCACAGCAGCACTATTATATTGCATAGGGGATGGCACATTAGCATATTGCATAGGGGATGGCACATTAGCATATTGCATAGGGGCTGGCACATTAGCATACTGCATAGGAGCTGGCACATTAGAATACTGCATAGGGTACATCATACCACGGGGTGGACCTGTTTGCCACCCTGGAACCATTGTAGGGAAATAAGGATATGTTGCGGTAAACAGATCCTGCAGTTATTTAAGGGATAAGGTAAGGCACATGTATTTGCTACCAACAAACATACAGTATGAAGAGCTAAGAAGAAAAGGATAGTTACCTGCGGTAATTCTTTCATTCCAGTAGCTGCTGAAGATTGTGCAGATCCAGGACCTGGAATTGTTCCGCCGCCAGGAGTTGTATTCAGAGCTGCTTGCACATTAGGGGGTAGTGAAGAATTCCATAGCTTGCAAAAAGGACAGGTAAATAGTAAGGTCCAGATGCTAACAAATATGAATAACACAATGAAAGCCGAGAAGGCTGTTACCAAGGCTTACATGATTGCCAGGGGCTGAATATAGTTGAGAGGTGGACTGCGCAGGGGTTAAAGAAGGTTGTTGATGCTGTGTGGTGGCCCATTGCCCAGCTTCTGGAACAGGGGCATTACCACCATTGCCAGTCACAGGCATTGTACCAAAACCATTCGGAATAATTTGGGTGGGACCAGGTACAGATGGCGTAGCTGACAACTGAGACAAAACAGAATCCAGTGGACTGGCATTTGCAGGAGCTTCAGAAGCTTTAGGAGCAGGGGCGAAATCAAAAGACGCCCAGTTATTGTCATTGCTGGAAGCTAAGGTTGGTGCAGCAGGTTGAGTTGAAGTTGTCTGTTGTGCTTGGGGAGCAGCCGCAGCAGCAGTGGGTGCGGGATCAGAATCAAAATCGATTAAGCTTGGTGCAGGTTCTACTTTTACTTCCACAGGGGCCTCAGTTGTAGAGCTGAGGCTGCTTGATGAGGCAGTTCTCTGTAATTGTTACAGCAAACAGTAGGATTAAGTCCACACCATTATTTCAAGACCAAAGTTGACAACAAGGTAATTAAAGCAAATACACATGCTATAAGAGTTTTAAAAGACAACTGACAAGAGGACTACCTGTGTCGCCACAAAGCCATCAGCAGACCTTACTGCATTAGCTTTAGGTGGTTCACTTATACGAAGAGGCACTACACTATCACCCAAAATTTCTCGAACGGGCCGTACAACCGGGGGACTAGTTCCCCCAACATCATTTGGCCGCTCTGGTGACCTGCCACTCAGTTTTGAATCTCCATCAGATACTCTATGGTCCTCAACTTTCCTTCCATTTCCAAATCTATCCTCCCGACGCCAATCGTTGATAATCTCTGGTCGAGCGGGACTTTTCCTGTAATCACTGTAATGTCTACCTTCTTGATCATATCCAGGGCTTCTCCTCTCGTCATAACCATATCTGTAGTTTTTGTCATCACTTCTTCCACCTGGACTAGACCTTTCATTGGAACGGCGGTCATAGACATCCTCATATGGTGGACTCCGGGACCCTACATCCTCTCTGTCAGCCTGTACAGATTTAACTATGGCGATTAGCATTTCCATGGTGCGAACACGTACCGAAGAAATCAAGCAGGTAAGATATGGGCATATAATTTCAAGAGCATAATGTCATCTCACCGTCTTCATAATTGGAGGTTTGCCATAGTTCTTATCACCCGTGTACCTTTTATCAACATACACGTGTTTGATAAAGTCCCGAAGTCTATCAACATTACTGCCACCAAGAAAAAATGGGAAGGAAATCAGAACAATAATAATAAATAACATGCAAGATAGTTTGATGCAATATGTCAAAACCTGCTGTCAGGTGTAGAGTTGCGCTGAGGATCCCAGTCTTTCAGAAGAACTTCTCTTGCACGCTGTCAAGTTGATCCAGAAAAGGGATGGTCCAGGATGAAAATTCAGGAATATGTGTCCATCCAATAAGATAAAACTTAACAGATATGAAATACAAGGCTGGCATACCTTGTTTCCACCTTCCTGAAGTGCACCAACTTCTTGGGGGGTAAATTTAGCCATTGATATTGATTTCACTCTGTGAGTAAACTCCCGACTGATGAGAGCAGAAACAAACACCATAAGTATATAAGAGAATAAAAACCTAAGCAAACCTAAAGCCACTTAGGAGATACTTACTGAATTCCACTACAGGTAGTACAGACAAATGTAGAGAAATTTGTGCAAACATATTGCGGTCCCTGATCAAGCAAGAAAATGTATTAGAACAGAAAATGCATGTTACAATCAAATAAAAGCAGAACGGTGAATTTCTCGTTCCAATAACATGGTACTGCAACACTCCAAGCATATGCTCGTTTTCAACTAATATAATAGTCAAAAGCCTCAATTTTGACAGTTTCAGTCACCTCTTCTGACCTAGGCAAATCCTTCCTCGCCTACGGCTATGCCCCTGAGGGTACAGGGAAACTAATATGTAATCCAGAAGTATCCTCAAATCTCTTTATTCATTTTATTTTTGGTCACTGTGCAAGGGAAAAAAATAAGAACCCCTTCCCAGAAAAAAAAGATGTTATTCCTTTCCACATATCTAAGGAACTCCCTGGGGGACTAACTAACATGCACTCTAGGAATATCTAGTATCTCTCACTAAGTTAGCAGCATTATCAAGCCTAGACCTATGATATTGACATACGAAACTACTAACGAGTCCCAATTTCATCGTATCAATGTACGATAAAGCACCACTACACTCCATCAGCATTGCTTCCCTCTCAAATTTCGTTTCTTGCTTAGCAAATTTCCACCCTAGTTGGAGGAACACTTGAAATACAAAATCAATTAACTGACTCTTGCAACCGTTAAGTTTCATAGGAGTAGAGCCAAACCACCACATTAGCATTGCCAGAATTTCTCGGCAGAAAGCACCCGAATCACACATTACCAGACTGTTGCAGTTGATGCATCTCCGATTCTCCTGAAGTTTGAGAAGTCCCCTGATAATTCTCTCATTCTTCTCGTCCTCTTTAACTCGACTCGCCATCTCCCCACCGCCTGTGAACATTTAAAACAGAGTCAGGATTCGAAGCAAGCAGAAGGAAGCCATGACAACCACAGTGAAATCTGAATTCCACAGCGAGCTCAATTAACTCTTCTGCTTCCTCGGCTGTAACTCCTCGGCCAACCAACGGACATTACGAGGAGGCCGAAATTCAACCGTCTAAAGCGACGGATCTTAAGGATCAAATCCGGCGACAAATGGAACTGAAGCAAAGTAAAAACAGCTCTCTCTCTATATATACTAACCGACTAAGAAATTGAACTCGAAACTACCAGAAACCGACCGCTTACCTAACTGACTACTGCCGACGAGGAGAGTTTCTTCTCCGGTCAAGACTTGTGCGGATGGCTGACTTCAACTCGAAGATCGGCGAGTCCACGATTCCTTCTTCACCCCCTTGAAACACCTCAGCCGCTCTGCAATTCAATTATCAACAGCGAAAGCAGAGGGAGGAGAAAGGGAAAGGGGAAGAGAGATGGAGAAAAGAGAGATTTGTCTGCTGAAATTACAGACGAAGAAGAGAAGGGCTTTGTACAGCTAAGAGCGAACAACCAAAGTCTGCTTTCTCTTCAACGGAAAAGATGAAGGAAAAGAAAAGAAAAGGAAGCGAGCGGAAAAAGACAGGAAGGAAATTGAGGAATATTAGGAATAATAGAATTTATTAGTACAAATCAGTCTTCATTTTATTATGTGGGGATTATCGGGTAAATTGCAAGTTTGGTCACTAGAATTAATTACAAATTTCACGTTTGTCACTAAAATTAATTTATTCTATCCGTAGTCGCTTAAATTAGTTACACAATCCAAATTTGGTCACTCTCCGTTACCTTCCATCAGACTCTGTTAGTGCCGTCAGTTAACTGCTGATGTGGCAAACAGAAAATCCCAATCAGCCTAATTTAACCCTAAAGAAGATGACCCGACCCTACCACGACATTTTGACCAACCCAACCCTTAATCAACCAGACATACAAGGAAAGACGAGTCCAGTGGACTTCAGGCATCGCCCGCAGCTCCCCCACCGCCACATTCACCCTCGACCTCTATCTGAAATCCAGACGCATCTTCACCGCCAACCCGGCCAACATCCAACACATCCTCAAGACCAATTTCTCCAACTAGGGATGGCAATGGGTCGGTTGGGTCGGGTTTTGCCAAACCCAAACCCAAACCCATGGGTTTATCCTTGAAAAAAATCGGGGTAAAACCCATTGGGTTTGAAAAACTCAAACACAACCCAACCCGCTGGGTATCCGCGGGTTCATGGGTACCCACGGGTTTTTATCGAAAAAATTTACAATAACAAGTTTCTATCAAAATTAAAGTCAAATATCAATCTCTCAATACAAATTATCCATATATAAAACACCATTCTAGAAAATTCAAGAAAATCACAAATTAACTATACAAAATTTTCAACACCAATTTAGAAAACTCAAGAAAATTGAAGCAAATCACAAATTATCCATAAATAACACTAGCTTATAATCCGGCCCGTTGGCCGGAATGTTTATATTTTATATTTTATACTTTTTATGTTACGTTAAAGTCTATCAACCTGTTTAATTTTATTGGCAATCTTTCGATCGAGATGATATATAAAGAAAGAATATATAGGTCGAACATTCAGAGAAATATCATCATCATTTGAGAAAATAAAACATAAAAATGTATGATTGATCTCATTTTCATGATGATAATTAAGCCCAGTTAATATGTTATTGGTTAGTTGATTGTTAAGAAAGATAGAGTATAAAAGCTCACTGGAATTCCCACACGACCCATAGACAGTTTGAAACTGAATCTAAAACCTCACAATCCTACGTAAATGGTTCAATGCTCTCATTTTGGGGGCAATATGCCACTAAAAAAGAAATGGATAGTTTTAGGTTCAAGTCAACTATATACTAACAACTCGGCTAAGAGTGGACCATCAAAACTTGAGAGCAAACGATCAAAGTAAATTGGGTTACCACCAATATACTAATAGACTCGATCAAAGTAATATGACGCAAAATTAGACAGTCCTTATCTATCAGTTCCAGTAGGTTGAATAAAGAATCAACCTACTTCATTAAATCAATCAATGATTACTCGTTTTAAGATAGAAATAGGTTGTGGTAGCTGCAAAAACTATAAACCTAATGATCCAATAGCGACCACTCTCCATTGAACGACCAAATTTTTATCTACTCTATCTTCAATCTCAAGAAGCATATGTTTCAACCAAACATTCACTTTCTAATCCTCCTTCTGCAACTCCATTTCTGCTACTTTGATGGACCTTCTCTCCGCGACCCTAAATTTATCTTCCAATTAGGGTTTTTGTCAACTCGCTCTTCAACTCCTCAATCCTCTTCCTGTGTTTTGCCAACTCATCTTTCTCAAGGCCAGTTGTAATAAGTTCGCTAAAACCAAAACTCATCTCCAATTCCATCAATATGCTCATCTCCCCCATTATATGCCTTCACATGCTTCAGTACACTTCCATGTCCTTCAATACCCTCTCCATTTTTATTAATATCCTCATCATCTCTCACTTCTCTCTCTTTAACTGCTCCAGTTTTGCTTCCGCGTCTTTCAACACCCTCCTCAATTCGATCACTACCCTCGGTAACTCCCTCTTCTCTGCCTTAACATGCTACAGTTGAATTTTTCTTCCCCCCACCACTCTCATTTTCAAACTCAATCCTAACTCTTCTACTCCAATTTCAACACCTCAAACTCCTAGAGTGTTGCATGAAAGCTCAATTTCTAACTAATTCTAAAACAATATCAAAATTTGATTAGTGAGATAAGAATAAAAATTAATGAGGAAAATTATGGTTGCGGAGAACATTAGTTATCACAAAATCAAATATGAGCGGAAATATTGTAATTGAAAAGAAACCCTTTTTTCTCATTTTGATCTTATTTTATTATTTCAATAGCTAAGCAAAGAACAAAAATAAAGTACAGGAAACACACAACAAAGTTGACAGGGCTCTAGCAAAGTACAACTGCCATGTTCTACACAAACATCTCTTTTGCTTACAAACAAATATAGTACCCAAACCATCGTTCAAATTCATTTTCTATATTTAATAAATCATTCATAAACAAAAAACTTAGATAAATCGGGAAGGAAATAATAGCCTGCCAATTCAATTCGATGAACCTAATATGAAGATAAACACATTGAAGTTGAAACCTAATAACAGAAAAAGGAGAAATCACGCAGGAGATCCCCCGAGCTTTAAACATCGTTTCAGGCAATAAGATCAAAATAAATAGATATTATGCATGTTGTGCTCATGAGACAACGTGAAAATAAAAGTCGCTTTGTTATTAATAAGAAAGATAAAACCATGAGACATAGAGAAGAAACGAATAACTTACATGTGTAAAGCGATTAACCTTAATCAGAAATCGAAAACCTATCAAAGGTCAATGCCTGGTATAGGAAGAGGAGTAAAGGCAAAAGGTATAACTGATCAAACATTGCCTTCAGCAATAGAAGCAGCAAAATAGTTCTTCTGATAGTACATCGGGGAGAGACAGAACCATTGGGTGATGCCAGTGCAGAGGAATCGAGCGAGATAATCAAGGCCATGCCATAACTACTTGATTGAACTCCATTCTATTGGCCATGGATTGATATGAGAGTTGAAATCTTCTACTTGCCCAGCTTAAATCCCCAAGAATAAAACTGCAGTGCCAAAAGATACCGGAATGTTGATTTTCAAATGCTCCTTATACTGGGAAGTGAAATCACGCAAACTATTGCACGATGGAGGGAATTTCGGAGAAAATTAGAAAGAGATAAGAACAAAGATAAAAAAGGCACAAAATTTTAATTTATATTGAAAAATGCAAGGACACAACACATAGTAAAGGAAATAGTTTCTTCCATGTTAGCCAATTACCAATTTACCTTTAGCGAAAATAAAAGAGAGAGCATGAATTCTAAAATTGATAAAATTAAATGAAACTGTACTATGAAAATTGAAGTATTAAACACCATGAAAATACATATAGTAGACTTAGTGCACTTGTTAATCATGATGGAAAAGTTCTCTGCTTTTCATTGTTTAAATACATGTATGTTTTGTATTAAAAAAGGAACAACAAATACATTTAGTATAATTGGTTATGATTGCTATCTTTGTCTGAAGAGACCCAGGTTCGAGTCTTGGTATTGATATTTTTATGAAATAAATAATTAATTGTAAAGACAAAATTGTCCTTCCTACTTTCACTCTCATGGCAGGAAATTTGAAATGGAGAAAAGTTTACAAAACTCTACTATATATTAATGGAGGATGATTAATTGAAAGCTTCTTCCTTTCAATTAAATTTTTTCACTCTCTACTCGATAACATCAACTTAATTCTACACAATTAGAAAGAAAAAATTAGACATGTCTCCAAAGACATAAATAAGATTAGTTGCTTAGAATATCAAATATAGCGAGAAAATTAATTATATAGGTGTGGGCGGGTACCCACGGGTCGGGTTTACCTAAACCCAAACCCAACCCAACCCGATGAATAGTGAACGGGTTTAAACCCAAACCCGGCCCAAAACCCGTCAACACGGATTTTACCCGCGTTGACCGGGTTGGGTCGGGTGGGTACCCGTGGATTCGGGTTTTTATGAAATAAATAATTAATTGTAAAGACAAAATTGTCCTTCCTACTTTCACTCTCATTGCAGGAAATTTGAAATGGAGAAAAGTTTACAAAACTCTACTATATATTAATGGAGGATGATTAATTGAAAGCTTCTTCCTTTCAATTAAATTTTTTCACTCTCTACTCGATAACATCAACTTAATTCTACACAATTAGAAAGAAAAAATTAGACATGTCTCCAAAGACATAAATAAGATTAGTTGCTTAGAATATCAAATATAGCGAGAAAATTAATTATATAGGTGTGGGCGGGTACCCACGGGTCGGGTTTACCTAAATCCAAACCCAACCCAACCCAATGAATAGTGA